GCTCTATTTTATCTGAAGCTTGTTCCTTTTTTTTCTTTAAGACATTATTACTTCACTGAAGCAGTGAAACAGGTTTGCAGCAGAACAATGAATCTGGCTTATTAAGCTTCCATTACTCTGAAATGTTAATGATCAGATACTTGAAAGACAAATTTTGACTTTGCACTTCTTTTCAGTACATGGACTACCGTACAGAAGATTATTCATACTAGAGTAATGTTCATTATTAACATAGTTATTAATAAAAGTAATGTATAGTAGCCTAACATATTCAGCTGCATTAGTAGAATGCACTATGATTTTCTACTGTTTATTGTTGAAAGGTTCTGGAAAACAAGAAGCTTATCTGTCATAACTAAGGTTTTGTTTTCTCAGCTCTACCTAATACCTTTAAAATACTTAGCTGAAAACCAATTTATTTAGCTCAAGTCCAGTCTGCTCTCTATTCAGTTTATTTACAAAATAAAAAAACAGAAAGCCTTACTTATAAAATGGTTAAGACAATGTTTATATTGTTAAAATGGAGGGATCATGAGAACCAAAATGCAAAAGTTTTCTAAGATAAAATTTTATATTAATATTACTAAAGTATGCTACAAAGTAACCAATTAAGAAATATCAACATTAATATTCTGTAGCACATTATTGTTTAGTTTATCTTAGGTTGCTGATAATGTATGGACAGACTGCTGTAGAGTTCCATTAGAATTATATATAATTACATATGAACCACAAAGAACTGATCACAATTAATGCTATTAAAATAAATCCTATAGGAAGTAAAAACAGCATTTATAAAAGACACCTCTTATATCAAGTTTTAAATTATTACTTCCTTTGATATTCATTGTAATAATGTATATTATTTTAAAAGTTACCTAACTTTTCTGTTCCTTATGGTGTTACAGAATGTTGCTTTTTAAAAGAAACTAAAAACTGAACCTTTGCATGTTATTTTCATTCATCTCATGAAACATAAGAATAAAAAATTGTCAAACAGTAAAGTGAGAGGCGTCTGTTGGAATGCTTACTGTAAAAACATGCAATAAGGAATTTATTAGATTCTCCTAGGAGATGTAATAAAATAAATAAGTTAGAAAAAAAGGCTTATGAAATTATATACTACTTACCATTCTGCAATTTCAGGATGAAGAATTTGATTGTTCACGTTAAATCTAACAAAAAAAACACACCAGAATTAAAAACAAGTAATATTATGAATTGGGAGACACCAGATTTTTTTTAAACAAAATACCAAAATGCATTTTATATAGTGTCTCATCTGAACACAACAACTACAACAGTTTTAGTTATCAAATAATGTACTGCATCATAATTTAAAAAAACATATTTGCCCCTGCAAATGAATGTGCTTATCTTTACCCATATGGACTGATTATATGTATAAATTTAAAAGCCCTGTAAAAGCATTTTCAAGATCAGACTCATAGTACATACATACTAGTTGTCCCTATCTATCGATAAAATATAATTTTCCAGTTTTATCTATCAAATACACTTGAATAAAATTAAAATAGTGGATGTTTCACTTTCATCCCTAAAGTTCTTTAGGGCATTCAAAGCTTGGGGAAATCAAATAATAGTCAGATAAAAAAAACTTGTCAAAGGTGAACTGCACAGGGAAAAATACAAAAGAATGTGTCCTCTTTTTGCTTCTCTGTGATGTATAAAGGGAATGTGAAGGTTCCATCTCCCCACAACCGTCTTTCAAAACAGTGGGGAAGGAGAGGCTCTTTGCTTTCTATATTAAACATCTGCATCTTGTCAAAGACTCACGGTTGTCATTTCACATTACAAGAGCCAACAAAGTGAAGGCTGAGACAGGGAGAAGGAACTTTTACTAAGGTTGTTCAAAATTTTGTTATTGTTGTTCACATTTCATTTTAATGACTAAAAGATTTTAAATAAAAAGACAATCCAGTGTCGTGATCTCTTAAATTAGAATTTCAGAGCTCACAATGAAAATGCTCCAGTCTATCTCATCCCAATAAATCTTTCAAGGAAGCTAAGGAAAATATACTGGAAGTTCATCACACTTCTGAAATTTTTTTGTTTTTTAAAGAGCATGTATATGACCAATAAAGAAGGCCTAAAAGACACAAAGCAAAACTACCCTCTCCCCCACCACACACACACAAATCACCCACAAATCCAATTTTTAAGAGATTAGTTCAAAGTCACATTTAAATTTCTGAGGGTTCAGGTGGCAGAGCAATAACCACCAATGAATACAGCAAACAAAAGTATTTCTACTACATGCGCTCATAAAACTACACAATCTAAAAATGGGAGGGTCAGTGGCTTTGTATTCCTATTTCAAGAGCATGAGACAAAAACTGCCAATTTGTCTTAGGCTTCAACAAACACAAGTTGCATGGTATTAAATATTAAGGGTCTCCATTTAGACACTAGTGGACCACCACCACCCGAAAACCACAAGTCCACATTCTGCATCATTATGGTTACTTGGAAACATGAGAGAGTCTAGTAACATTTATTTTCTTCAAGAAGAACATTTGAATATTATTCCTGTAACTGCTTTTAAAGCAGTTCAATACAGAAGTAATCATGGGATACAAGAGCCAGTTAAACACAAGCCTACATAGAGAAAAAACTGAGGAACTAGAAAATAAAGTTAATATAGAGATATTCAATGAACAAAAGATTGAATTCCATATCTGACTGAAGAGTATTCCAGCATGTCCCTAAAGAGAGATTAAACAAAACAAGACATGAAAGGATAGAAGTTGAATATGACATAAGCGACATCAATATAACAAATGAAATACAAACTCAGAGCACACTGATTAAGAAAAACAGCACAAGGGGATAATGTAACAAGGTAGAAAAAGTTGCATTAGCAGCTCTATTTAAACTTAAGCAAGAACAGTGTTGTAGCCATGTTCATCCCAGAATATTAGACAAGGTGAATGAAGTCATATATTTTATTGGATCAATTTCTGTTTGTGAAAAGACAAGCTTTTGAGTTACACAGAGCTCTTCTTCAGATCTGCCCCAGCTTGTTTCTCTTACCAACAGAAGCAGGCCCAATATAAAAGATTACCTCATCCACCTCTTTAATGGACAAGTACAAACAATGACATTATACTAGCGGGAAAAAACAATACCCCAATTTCTAAGGGAAAAGCTTAACAGACCATAAAGGACAGGGAAGGCAAGTCCCTAGGAAAGATCACAACTAGTCAGTCAGCATACTGTCTTTCCTGAGAGTCAGAGTGTGTCTTATTAAATTTATCACCACAAAAAAGAAATAGGGATCCAAAATTATTCAAACCAACAAAACAAGAAATCAAATTCAAAAAGGCAGCCAAGTGAAAAGGACTTCATGAAACAAATACAAAGATAAACCTCTTTCAGAAGATCTACTTGGGACTGAGAGAAGAAAAAAGCCATAGACAGGTGACTGAACAGAGCTGTTGAAATAACTATTTTTGTTGAGAAGAGTGTCTATTCCGCAGCACTACGTTGAGGCATCCTGCTAAGATAAGGCACCTAAATACCAGCTCCAGACAGCAGCACATGGGGAAAGCCAAATAACAGGAATGGAACAGAGGAATTATGTCATAGGGCACTGTCAGAAGGACTTCAGTTTCTTTCTCATCTCGGTGTGGTCTACTTTTCAGACCTTTAGCAGTATAACTACCTCATTCAGGGGCATGAAAAATCTATATTGCTGAAGCAATGTACAGTAAACTTCCGTTAATCCGGCACCTTTAGGACCCAGGGGGTGCCGGATTATCAAATATGCCGGACTATCAGAAGGGGGGGCTATGAGGGGTCTGGAGTGGGGTGGGAGGGGATGCCACCCCAGACCCCTGATAGCTCCCCCTTACGATAGTCAGGATCTGACCCAGGAATCCCTGATTCAGCCGCTGCTGGTCAGTTTCAGGAGCAGCTGAATCGGGGATGCTTGCAATAGAGCAGCTGGGGTGCTGCCGGGTTGGTCCCGCAGCACCGAGGGGCGGCGCTACGGCACCAACCCAGCAGCACTCCAACTGCTCTTGGGGATGCCTGGGACAGAGCAGCTGGGGTACTGCCCGGCTGGTCCCGTAGCGCTGCCCCTCGGGGCTGCGGGACCAACCCAGCAGCACCCCAGCTGTCCCGGATTCAGCCGCTGCTGAAATTGACCAGTGGCTGGGCTCCGGGAGCCTGAGACCGAA